ATGTAAATAATTAAATGAATAAATAAACAAATAACCCCTGTATAGAATTAAATAAATAAGTAAATAAATAAATAAACAAGTAAGTAAATAAATAAATGAACAAATAAGTAAATAAGTAAATGAATAAATAAATAATCAAATAAGTAAGTAAATAAAAAGAAAAATCGATAAACAAATAATTAAATAAATTAACAAATAAATAAATAACGAATGACATACTTTTGAGTAATATTTTTCACTGCCATTTTTTTCCAATGTTAAAAAAATATAAGTAATAAAAAAAATAATTAAAGGAAATGAATAATAAAAAAAAATGTTAATAGCAAAATAGATATATTGAATGATTATAAGAGATCATCAATTATATATGTATGTAAGGGGAAAAATGTTGAAAATGTCGATTGCTGATAAAAATTTGAGTTGTATTTGATATATAATTGGACAGTGACCCACACCAATTATATAGGTAACCCCATGTATATATAGGAATTATTCAATGAGAATAAGGTGAATTTAATAGGGAAAGATGAAACTATTGAAGAGAGAAAAAACAAATGACTTATTGAGTCAAGAGAAATGAAGAAGCAAATTATACTTATATACAATGTTGCGGTTTTATCGCAATATCTCAAATCATCATTTGATTATATACATTAATCCTCGAACAATCATTCAATCGATTGAATTCTTAAGTATCATATAATTGCCAAACTCTGATTAGTAAAGAATACAACGAAAAATTTCTTAAAAAAAAAAAATTGAAAATGAAATTAAAAATTGTAATTGGAAATATAATTTAATTTTTTTATTAAGTTTAATATCTAATTAATTTTTTTAATGAATTTAATTCAATTACATTCAATTCGAATTTAATTTAATTTTGTTTAAATTAAGTTAAATTAAATTAATTAATTAATTAAATTAAGTTGAATTGAATTTACCTAATTCAAATTTAATTTTATACAGTTCAGTCTAATTTCATTCAATTTGAATTGAATTTTATTTTTCTAATTCAGTTTTATTAGATTTAATTCAAATTCAATTTCGTTGAATTTGATTCTAATTTTATTTTTTTTTTAAATCAGTTTAATTAAATTTAATTCAAATAGAATTTTATTCAGTTGAGTCTAATTTCATTCAATTTGAATTGAATTTAAGTTTTCTAACTTAGTTTTATTAGATTTAATTCAAATTCAATTTCGTTCAATTCGAATTAAATTTAATTTTCTTTAAATTAGTTTAATTGGATTTTATTCAAATTCAATTTAATTTAATTCGAATATAATTTTATTTTATTTAACTCACTGTATTTGAATTTAATTCAAATTTAATTTCATTTGCAGTTCAGTCTAATTTCATTCCATTTGAATTAAATTTCATTTTTCTAACTCAGTTTTATTGAATTTAATTCAAATTTAATTTCGTTCAATTCGAATTTAATTTTATTTAATTCAGTTTAATTGAATTTAATTCGAATTCAATTTAATTTTATTTAACTCAGTTTAATAGCATTCAATTCAAATTCAATTTCATTCAATTCAGTTTAATTTAATTTGAATTGAAATTAATTTAACTCTAATTGAATTTAAATGAACTGAATTTTGAAAAATAGAAAATTGTAACTGTTTCTTTGATCCGTTCCCTCAATTTTTGAAATAAAATATTCTATTCAATCAAATATAATAGCGATTATAAATGATTAATTGTATTATTCAAATAGTGAAAAATTAGATTTCTAAACATAAATAAAAAATAAAATCCAAGAAAAAAAAACAGTAGAAACCGTAAAAGAAAAATGGGGATTGTCATCGTTACAACAGATCAGTGTCGAAAGATATTAACGATAATATGAAAGAAAGATAATTTATATAAAATCCGTTTTTTAGAATAAATATGTTTAGAAATAAATAAAAGATTTTTTTTTCATAAAAAAAGCCAAAAAAAAAATGCTGAATTATTTACCAAATGGAAAAAATTTTTATCTGAAAAATAAGAAAATTTTTACTCCTTTTCAATTTAATCATTTCTTGTAATGATTTTTCATAAAAAAAAAGAGGTTTATATAGACAGAAATGAAGTAAAATCAAATTCCTCAAATGCAAATGGAAAGTCAACAAACTTTTGAAACCTTGATGTTATTTTTTTTTTTTAGAGAGAGAGAGAGATTGTAAAACAAAGAATTGAGGCGCCTAACTCTGTCCTTTTTACGATATAACCGATATTTTTTTTTGAGGACCTCTCATCTTCATGGTTGAAATTCAAATTTATATTACTTTTTGTTTTGAAAGTCGAAAAAAAATCTTTCTCTCTACTGTTGTAAAAGTGACAAAGGGTACCGTAAATTTTTCACCTGACGTAAATGTGATATGTACAATAACTTTCATGTCAACAACTGTCTTTCTAATTCTTTTCTTTTTTTTTTTTTTTTTTTTTGAGTCACCAACACTTTACTACCGAAATATTTTTTAACATTTCATATTTTTATGGCGCGTTGAAAAGAACCATTAACTTTCAAATGGAATTTTATTACTGTAATTAGGTAAATATTATTTTTTATTTACTTCGTATTTTATTTAATTTTATTCAATTCAGTTTAAATGAATTTAATTAGAATTCAGTTCAATTTTATTCTATTAAATTTCTATTCAGTTATTTTATTTTATTTTTCTTAATAAATTTCAATTCAATTAAATCTGATTCAAATCAAATTTAATTCCATTCTATTCAATTTAATTCTACTCAAATTAAATTTCATTCAATATTGTTTAAATTTTATTTAATTTCATTCAATTAGATTAAATTTAATTCAATTCCATTAAAATTTAACACAACTCAAATTAAAATTCTATTTAATTCAATTCAATTCAATCTGATTCAAATCAAATTTAATTTAATTCTATTCAATTTAATTCCACTCAAATTAAAATTTAATTAAATTGAATTTTATTCAATTGTTTAAATTTTATTTAATTTCATTCAATTTAATTAAATTATATTTAATTTAACTCCACTCAATTAAATTCAATTCAAATTAAAGTTTCATTCACTTAATTCAATTCAAATTAAAATTTCATTTATTTAATTCAATTCCAAATTAAATTTCATTCATTCAATTCCATTCAAATTTTAATTTCATTTAAATTAAGTTTTATTTAACACAATTTGTTTAACGTGAATTTCGTTTCCTTGAATTTGATTTCGTTTCATATCATTCAAATTTAATGTCAATTAATTTAATTCAGAGCAAATTAAAATTTTTTTAAATTAAATTTAAATTACAAATAATTGCATTCAATATTGAATTAAATTAAAAAATAATTTTAAGTCCATTCAAGTAAGATTTTATTCAAAACAATTTTATTCAATGTAAATCAAATTTCATTCAATTTAATTTAATTCCAAAAAATAATTGTATAAATCAATTATAAATATACTTAAATTTATAATTAATTACTCAATTACAATTAAATATTTTAATTAATTAAATGTATAAATCAATTTAAGATAAATTGTAATAAATTATAATTTATTAAAATTAAAATTATAAATGGTATTAAAAAATTTTTACAAATATGATTTTTTAAAAATTGTAATATAAAACTTAATTTTCGATTTGGGGGACAATAAATGTTAATAAAAAAATTATAGTCTGTTCTTTTATATGGATCTTCAATTAAAAAGCAGGGATTATTTATTAATTTTAATATTTTAATATTAAGAGTAAGAATAAGAATTAAGAATTAAATTAAGAATTAAGAATTAAATTAAGAATTAAGAATAAGAATTAAATAAAAGAATTAAAAATAATTAGATTTTTAAAATTAATTTTCTAAAAAAAAAATTATATTATAACGGAAAATATTTGAGAGAAAATCAATATGAAGAAAACCCATCATTGAAGAAATACGCAGCTACTGAAAAATGCCAAAGAAGAAATTTTTGAAATTGTTTTTTGTGTTTTTAAACCCGAATTTCTACCTGTATTATGGGTTAAAAATCTAATCTTGAGTAAAGACAAATTTGTTGTTTTATTTGAGTCGAAATTCATGTCAAACAATATCACCGGCTGATATCGTTTTTCTCTCTACCTTCGTATACATCAATAAGAAAAAGTTTATCTCCGTAATTTTCTTCTCTTCTCTTCTCTTTCCTTTTTTTTTCTTTCGTTTCTGTCAAAGAGTGAGGCCTCTGTGTTTACGGTTTCCTTTCGCCTTTAAATGAGTCAAAATGACTTTCCCTTAAAACCATTCAGAGTCTCGAGGGGATTCAGGCCAGACAGTCGGACCCGTCTAAACGAAACGAAGGGTGGAAAAGTTTTGAAGAGCATAAGTAAGCGTAATCTGGAAGCAAGTATAAGGAGAGTATATATATATATACACTTATTTTTTTTCTACTCCGTCTTCATCTCAACATCCCTCGAGATGATACCCATCGTATGCGGTATTTCGGAGCGAGTAATCTCCAAAAGTGGCTTTAGTGACTACAGCACTTCAACTTGTCTCGTAAAAGTATAAAAAAGAAAATGTCTTATTTACCAATTTTCCCTGCTTCACATATGTCGAGATAAGTGAAGAGAAGAGATGGAAAAAAAGAATGAACGACTTGTCAAAAAAATAGATTTCCTTCTCTCGCGCTACATTCACAGAGATGAGTGAAATTGTTTTTTTTCTCTTTTATACCTTTTTTTTGATAAATGTACTTATACGTAAATATAGAAAATATTTTTGTCTATAATAATTATTTCTATGTATTATTATTAATTATTAATTAATAATAATTGAAAAATTAACAGCATGTGACTGTTAAATTTTCAATGTTAATTTTTCGATCATTTTTCTCTTAACATATTAATTAATTAATTAATAATAATAATAAACGAATAAATAAAATATAAAAATAAATAATAATAAATATTAATCAATAAATTATTAATTTATTCAAATTAATAGTTTAAATTATTTTTAGTTTATATTAATTTATAAAAATTATTTTTGTTTCAGATTCTGAATCTGAATTGATTCGAATTTTCAAAAGAGTAAAACGAAACGATCGTTATAAAAAAGATGCTGGAGAGAAGATTAAGGATCAAATGTCGATTTATCAAATTATCGAAAGAGTAACGATCACATTAGACAGAGAATTATTTTATGGAATTTTTCTATATCAGAAACGAATGAACGAAATTTTTTTTGAGATTTTGCATCTGAAAAGAAGAAATTAGAAGAAATTAGCAAACAATAGTTAATAAAAGGAAAATCTATTAAAACAAGAAGAAAGGATAAATTATGCTAACAGATGAAGGAAAAATTATTTAGAGACAAGAAAATAGAGAAAAAAGTAAAAAATAAAGGAAGAAAGTAAAAAACTGAGGATAAGTAAAAATAAAACAAGTAAAAAGAAGAAAAGTAGAAAATGAAGAAAAAATAAAAGGAACAAAAGGAAGAAAAGAAAGGAAAGTAGAAAATAGAATAGAAAATAAAAGAAATAAAAGGAAAAAAGTAGGAAATAAGGGAAGAAGAGTGAAAAATAAGAGAAAAATTTTTTTTTAAAATTGGTGGAATTTAAGAAAACAAAGAAGCAAAAATTTCAAGAAGAAACAAAAAGAAAGGATAAATTTCAGGAAAGAGAATAATAAAAAAGGAAAAAATACTAAAGAATATAGAACAAGAGGAAAAAGGAAAGTTCATTATAAAAAAAATAGAACAAAAAAAAAATATTTAAACAAAGTTAACAAAATATGAGAAAATAAAAATAAATTATAAGGCAGAATAAATATTTTTAAACAATCCTATCTAATTATTTCTTAATTTTTATTAAGAAGGAGAAGAAGAAGAGAAAGGAAGAAGTTAAAAAGAAAAGAAAAATTGTAACAAAGAAAACCTTTTTGGTAAACAATAAAAAAAATTGAATAGATAAAAAATTAAAGAAGAAATAATAAAAAGGAAAAATTTTTAGATTGAATTAAGAGAAAATAAAGGTTAAAATTCCTAGAAGAAGTAAAATAATATAATAAAGTTAAGAAGAAATAAAATAATAATTCGAAAGAAAAAATAATAGGAAAGCTAAGAAGAAATAATATAAATTATAAAGTAAAGAAGAAATAATATAAAAATAATAATAAAATTAAGAAGAAACAATTATGAAAAAAATTGTTATAGTAGAAAACGTTTAGTAAAAACAGGACTGAAAGAAAAAAAGAAGCATTTTTAAAGAATAAAAAGAAGTTTTTTAAAAGAAAAAAGTTTGTTTTAACACTAGCTAAAAATAAAAAAGAAAACAAACAGAAGCTATAAAAGAACAGAAAGTTGTAATAAGAGAAGAAACAAAAAAAAAAAGAAATCAGAAATTAATATAAGAAAAAAGAAGAAATACAACAAAGAATAAGATATAAAAAAGCTAAAAAATTCAAAAAACAATAGAAGACGCAAGAAATCTACAAGAAATCTACAAGGAAACTACAAGAAAACAAAAGAAATTTCTTATATTTTGTATTATTATTGTAAATTACAAAGAGAAGTTACAAGAAATTAAATTGAATCCATAAAAGAACAAAATGTTCTGATAACGAAGAAAAAATAAAAAAGTAAATTACTAAGAAAATGTAAGAATGAAGAAGAAACAAAAAAAGAAGCATTAAAAACCAGAAGAAACAACTAGAAAATAAAAGAAGCTACAGAAATTTGTAGGAACTACAAAAAATATAAAAGAAGCTATAAGAAAATTGTAGGAACTACAAAAAAACAAAAGAAATTACAAGAAAACGAACAGAAATTGATACATAATGTAAAAAGAAGCAACAAAACAGAAGCTGCAAAGAAAAACAACAACAAAAATACAAGAAAATAAATAAAAGCGAAAATAGAAGAAGAAATCACCCTCCCTCTTCAAAAGAACAAACAACAAAACAGAAAATAAAACAAGAATACAAAAGAAGAAGAAAAAGAAGAAAATAAACAAAAGGTAAAAAAAACAAAATAAGTTGTCATAACGGAAATTAACAAACAATAAATTCCTGAATAATGTAAGGAAGAAGAAGAAGAAGAAGAAGAAGAAGAAGAAGAAACAAAAAAGCTACAAAAATTAGAAGAAACAACAAGAAAGCAAACAGGAGTTGCAAAAAACAGAAAGTAGCCGCAACAAAAAGAAACAAAAAAGAAATTGTTAATTAATGTAAGAAAGCAGAAACAATAAAAAGGAAACTACAAGAAATTCGAAGAAACTTCAAAAAACAAAAAGAAACTTCAAAAAAACAAAAAGAAGCTAAAATAAAACAAGAAATTCCCCTCCCTCTTCAATAGAACAAACAACAAAACAGAAAATAAAACAAGAATACAAAAGAAGAAGAAAATAAACAGAAGGTAAAAAAAACAAAAAGTTGTCATAACGGAAATGAATAAAAAATAAATTCCTCAATAATGTAAGGAAGAAGAAGAAGAAACAAACAAGAAGCTACAAAAAACAACAAAAAAAACAAACAGAACTTACAAAAAACAGAAAATAGTCACAACAAAAAAGAAACAAAAAAAACAAATTGCTAAATAATGTAAGAAAGAAGAAGCAACAAGAATAAAAGAAGCAACAAGAAACCAAAAGAAACAAAAAGAAGCTAAAATAAAACAAGAAATCCCCCTCTTCCCCTCAAAAAAAAATAATTGCAAACAGAAAAACTAATTGAAACAACAACAAGAAGAAAAAAAAGTACAACGAAAAGAGAAAGTACTCATTGCAGATCAGAAAAGGGAAACCAGGGAAAAGAAGGAGAAGAAGAAGAAGCAGCAGCAGCAAGAAGAAGATCGCCGAAAAGAGAAAGAATAGTGAAAAGAAAAAAAAAGAAGGAGAATAAAGAAGGGATTTGTTTGTAAGGTGAGGTAACGGATAAGAGGGTCCAAGATCTGTCGCGTGCTACATCTCTCCCAGGGATGGGACAGATGGGAACGGGACGATGCAAGATGAGACGGAATGGGACGAAACGGGATTACGGATGGGATGGAATGAATTCTATGGACCAATGTTTGTGAGTCAATTTCTACCTTAGTGTTGGTTTCACTCTCGACTGCCGGGACTCACGACTCGTGTGTACTCTTTCAATTCTGTTATATATACGTGTGGTGTCTTCCTTTAATAGTATTGGTTCCTCTCTCTCTCTCTCTTTCTTTTTTCTTACTCTCTCTTTCTCAGTGTCTCTCTCTCTCTCTTTCTCTCATTTTTCTCTTTCTTTCTCTCTCTCTCACACTTTTTCTCGCTCTTTTTTCTCTCTCTTTCTCTCTCACTTTTTCTTTCCCCTTTTTCTCTCTCTTTTTCTCTCCTTCTCTCTTTTCTCTCTCTCTCTCTCTTTTTCTCCGTCTCTTTCTCTCTCACTGTCTATTTCCTTCTCTCTCACTAACTATCTCTCTCTCTCTATCCCTCTGTTACTCACTCACTGATATGTGTCTCTCCACGAGAGCGAAGCGAAGAGTGCTTACCCGAACGGAGAACAGAACCGCGGCAATCGTTCAGTAGTTTCTCGGACGCCGTACCGGCACCATCCGACCAACGTGATAACCCTAGATTTCTTCTATCAATAAAAGAAAAACCTCCCTTAATATTTTCCCACCCCCCTCCCCTCTCTCACTTTTTTTATTTTTAACATTAAAAAAAATTTACGAATTAAAAAATTTTTTTCCCCTTTTTTTCCTAAAGTGATACACGTGTTCGCCGGCGACAAAAAAAAAATTATCCGATCATGAGTGAATTTTTCAGTTTGCAAAAAAGACTCTAGTGCACTTTTAATGAACAAGAAAAAAAATTACAATTGATAATTACAATTGATATTTACAATTTTCAATTGAAATTTACAATTTACAATTTACAATTAAAATTGAAGTTAACAATTTTCAATTGATTACCAGGGGCAAGGAGAATTTTTCTCGAAAGAGGATTTCTATTATACTTAGTGAAAGTTTCAATAAATACTAGATCCAATGTCATCGATATTTTGCTTCTGGATATTGGCGGATAAATGATTTTTGGAGAAATTGATTTTTCCGTTTTTTTTTCAATTGAAAAAAGTTAGGGGGTGGTAAATAATGCGAGAGGATCGAGAACGCGGTGCCTGTGTGGTACCCGCGGTTCAGTGTTGGAGCCACCCTTTCAGTGCGCGGCCGAGGCAGACTTGAGGATTTTTCACAGAAAGGGTGGTTCTCTAGCAATATTTAACGATCGCAAATAATCAGGGGGGGCACGTAACGGGAGTGTGGATGAGAGCGTCATGCCCGCTGTGATCGACACGGGAGGGCCGAGGGTGCTGCATAATAATCAAACTCATCCCACAACATCTTTCATTAGCTCCAAATTCACCCCTGAGAAAAATTATTATTATCATGATTATGTTGATGATGGTCCTCAACATCATGATCGTTGTTATCATGAACCTCAACATCATGATTGTCATCACAATGATTATCACTATCATGATTGTCAACATAATGATTATTACTATCATGATCGTCAACATAATGATTATTACTATCATGATCGTCAACATAATGATTATCACTATCATGATTGCCAACATTATGATTATCAATATCGTGATCGACAACAACACGATTATCAATGTCATCATTATCATCAAGAACAATTTTTCCATCAACAAAGATTCAAAGAGAAGAGTTGTGCTTTACAAGATCATCAACATCATCAGGAACAATTTGTCCTCGGTACGAAATTATTCCAAAAATTCAAAAAGAATCGTCAAAGAACAAACAGTGGTGGTTCAAATCATCAACATCATCAAGAATTTCTCCTCGGTACACAATTTTTCAAAAATCCAAAATTCGAACAGAAACGAAAAAGAACATGCAGTGAAAGTTTACTAGATCATCATTATCATCAAGAAGAATTTCTCCCTGGTTCACAATTGTTCCAAAATCAAAAATTCGAAAATAAGCGTGGTGGTCAAGAACAATTTCTCCTCGTTTCTCAACTGTTCAAAAATCAAAAATTCAAAAACAAACGCGAAAGAACAAGTAGTGGTGGTCAAGAACAATTTGTCCTCCGTACAAAATTGTTCCAAAATCAAAAATTCGAACCTAAACTCAAAAGAACATGCAGTGAAGGTTTACTAGATCATCAAGAACATCAAGAATTTCTCCTCCATACCCAATTTTTCAAAAATCCAAAATTCGACCCCAAATGCAGTGAAGGTTTACAAGATCATCAAGAACAACTTTTCCTCGGTACACAATTTTCCCAAAATCAAAAATTCGAATCGAAACGTGAGTGTCTACCAGACCCCGACGACAGTGCACCGGAAGTTAGACGAAGGGCAAGAGTGAAAAAACCGCGAAGAAGTGATTTCACAAGCGCAAATCATGATATCGAGGAAAATGAAGGGAGAAATCAACCGGAATTACGAGGAGGGAGTTTTGAAATTGCAAATCAACTTTCATCATCATTATCATCGTCAACCACCTGTCACGTGATTGCCAGTCGAAGGTACACCGAGTGTAGAGGCAAATTAAATATTGGGGAGTGCTTTTTCGATAAATTAAAGGGAATAAAGTTTAAAAGTGATGAGTCCTTTGATCCAGGAATAACGTTCAAGAAAAAATCTCCCATCTCTAGTCATCATCATCGTTCCCGAAGTTTCAATCATCATCCGTTAATTCTCAACAATAATTGCGATTACACACGTGAGGCGAAATTTCCTCCTATAAATTTCAACTTCGATTCAGTCATTAATGATTTTAATGTTGTATCATCTCGTTTAGATATTCTTCCACAAGTGAAAGTTGTACCACAATTGGAAATAGGACCACAATTAAAAATTGGTCCAAAATCAAAAATTGGGTCAAAAATTGGTCCAGAGTTAAAGTCTGGTCCAAAATCAAAAATTGGTCCACAATTAAATATCGAACGAAGAAAATTAGCAATTGATAAATCGAATCAAGTTGAAATTTACTCAAAATTAGGAATCGACGAATTGACCCTTGACGAAATTGATTCGAAATTAGGAATCGATGAATTGAATCGAGATTACGAACAGGTGAAAATTGATTCTTTAATTGAATCACGTTTACAAGAGAGATTAGTTACGAGAGATGAAATTACATCAAAATCATTATCGTCGTCGTTATCGAGTGTGAGGAGAAAGCGTGAAAAAAATACTAGACAGTGTACGAAGAATTGTTCTTATTTTCAATTAGCATTTTTATTGTTTTTAATTGCATTTGGGCAGAGTGGACTGCTCTCATCATCGGGTGTGTTAAAATTTCAGCGCAATAAAAGTACTGGATTGAGTGTATTCACAATTGGTATGGTGATCGGTGCAGTGAGAGCGGCGCCAATTGATATTCTCAGTGATACTGGCATTAGGGCAGAAAGATCGGCAAATTTATCGCACATTACGGGAGCGTCGAGGAAAATTCAGATGTATGTGAAAAACAGATATCTGCAAATTTTACCAAATGGCACTGTCAATGGTTCTAATGATGACACCTCCGACTACAGTGAGTACATTTAATTTTTATTCTACTTTTTTCTGAAGAATTAATGTCTCTAAAGTTCTGAACGTTCAATAAAAACGAAATTTGATTACTTCTTCAAAATTCAAATTTTGTTATAATAAGTATTCTGTTAAATATAAAAAAAATTATAAAGATTCACTGTCAACTTAAAAAAATTATAACGAATTGATATCAAAAATGTGGTTCAAATAAAAAATTGATCCAAATTTTTTGTCAACAATTTAATTCACTTTTCTATCAATTTGATAGAAAACTGGGTTTTAATTATTTAATTTATAATTATTTAATTTCGTTCTTGCTTTTTATTGTGGAAAGTAATTTTACTAATTCTTGGTTAATATTTATTTACTATCTAGTAAAATTTCACTTCTTGTTAACAAATATTTATTAACTTTACTATTTTTAGTAGAATTTGATTAATTATTAGTAAATATTTATTAATTTTACTGAATTGTTAATAAATATTTTTACTAAGTTTTTAGTACATTTTTACTGATTGATAGTAAAATTATCACTAAATCAATACGAATAGAAAAATTCGTTTATCCCCGACTTTGTTTTGAAATAATTCAAATAGATGACAAAAGTAATTGTTCGCATGGGACATTGAATGGAAATATTAAATTGAAAAGATGAAAATAGTAACAATTCCACATAAATGCAACATAAAATTTTGCATTACACAACTGACCCATTTTCTCAGCCATTGAATTTTGCGGTCGATATGGAGTGCTTACATCTCGGGAAGGCGTGAAACTAAAATACTTCCTCTTTGCCAAAATTCAATTGTTACAATTTCTAAAGAAAATTTATTCTCCCTTATAATTTGTATAAAATTTAGAATGAAAATCAGTCATTTTTAGATAAAAAAAAAAATAATTCGAGTCAGTTAATTCAAAACTATAATTCAAGTCAGTCAATTCCTATAATTCAAATAATTCAATTCCAATTGACAGTTATACAGAAAAATTCAGAGTAGTAAAATTTACTATATTGAATTCCTAAATTTGAATTAGTAAAAATTTCCACTAATTTAAATTATTGGCTTATTTTTTTCTATTTGAATCAGTAAATTTTACTAATAATTTAGTAGAAATTACTATTTATTAGTAAAATTTACTGATTCAAAAGCAAAAAGTCAGTCACTAATTAAAATTAGTAAAAATATTTACTAATTAAAATATAGAGAGTAAATTAAATAAATATTTACTTAAACCAACTAATTTTTAATTAAATCAAAATAAATATTTATTTGAATCAAATCAAAACAAAGAAATTGTCAATATTTCTCCCTTATAAACATGTAAAATTGTCGAATTGTCTAATTTTCGTACACGACCATATAGGAGGTTACAATTGAGGAAATGAAGAAGAGTAAAATGCGTGATTGGATCGCGACTGGGTCAACAGATCCAAGAATACACGTCGACACACGTACGCGTTCCTTTGCTTTTTTAATTAGTTCGAGCTGACACTTACGTCACTATTGTTTGTACTGAGTTTTCGAAAGTGTTTCATTCTAAAAAAACTGTTATCTGCATTTTAGCTCGTTGACATCAATCTTATCTCCCTCTCTCTCTCTCGCAAAAACACTTAAATGTTTGTTCTCTTAAGCAAAAGGATAATTATACAAAATATTCTTAATCAAAGAATTATCAAATCTAGATATTTACCTTCATTTTTCAATTTGAATAAAATTTATCTCAGTATTGCAATTTTTCTTTGCTTACACAATTTTACACAATTTTACACAATTTTACACAATTTTTTAACAAACAAATATTTTTTTAAAGTTTTTGTAACAAAATTTTTTACTCTTTGTTAAATAATTCATCTCTTATTAATTAACTCAAAAATAATTAATTTCATGCACAATAATACATTTAAATTTTGAGGTGCTATTAAATTTTCCGAGAATATCTCATACAATAAATGTTTGTGCATAATAAAAAAACTTTAATATCATTAATTAAACAGGGACATATAGTATTAATGATATAAAATTTAGAGTAAAATATAAAATTTATTACACGGAAAAAAAGCTTTCCTTGAAACAGCGATAAGTTCCTCTATAATAGCGAAAATTTTAATTAAAACAACTAAAAATTTCGCTAATATTGTGAAATTTGTAGCTATTTCAGGTAAAGTAAAATATAAAATTTCTTTCTTTATAAAATTTAAAATCTAAAATATTTAATGACTTACTGTATGACATTTAAAGTTACAAAAATAATTATATAATACAATTTCAATTTTTCAAAGTTGATTCTAAATTTAATTATTCAAAACTTTAATAATTTTAATAAATAAATATTTATATACTTTATTTGTTCCACAGGAATTAAAATTTTTTAAATTTCAATTCCAAATTCACTGAAATTCAATTATTTTTAAAAATTATAACCCAAATTCCTTCGAAATTCAATTTTTAACTGAACTGTTTCTTCAAATTAATTAATTTTAATAATTTTAGAAACTTGAAAATTCAAAAATAGAAAAATGCAATAGAAATTACATTGAGAAATATTTATAAATTAGAATAATTGAATTTTCAAAGAACTTTCTCAGAAATTATTAAAAATAATTGATTTAGTTAGAGAAGTATATTTTATTTTAAAATTTTAGAAAATAATTGTATTTCTTAAAAAAATGTTAGACAATTAAAAAAAATAATCCATTTTTTTTGAAGTAGTTTAATTAAATTTTTGTCAGGGAAATTAAGAAAATTAAAAGTTTTTCCGATTTATTTTCAAAAATTGCGACTTTTTCGACTTTTTTCCAAATATTGCAACAAAATACCAGATTTCTTAGTATAAATGAAATTATTATAATTATTATAATTATTTCATCATTATAATTGTATTTCTTAAAAAAATTTTGGACAATTGAAAAAACTAATCCATTTTTTTTTTTTTTTTTGAAGTATTTTAATTAAATGTTTGTCAGGGAAATTAATAAAATTAACAGTTATTTCGATTTATTTTATAAAATTGTGACTTTTTAGACTTTTTTCCAAATATTGCAACAAAATACCAGATTTCTTAGTATTAATGAAATTATTTCAATTTTTATAGTGCAAAAAATAATTAAACTAAGTCTGTAATAAAAATCGTTTTAAATAATTGAAATTTTGTAAAATTTAATTAAAAATATTTCATTTTTGTCAAGTATTTTGTTAAAATTTTTAAAAATCAACTTTTGAAGAGTTTTAATTTAAAATTTGGAAAATCATTGAATTTTCAATAATTTTAATGAAAAAACTTTTAATGTAAATTTAAAAATGAAAATTAATCAAAATTAGCTTCTAATTTCTAAAAAATCCAATATTTTCAGTATTTTATTTTTAAAAAAATTCGATTATTTTTAAAAAAATTCGATTATTTTTAAAAAATGTTACCAAATTATTTTGTTTGGGAATTTTTCAATTGTACATATAATTAAAATACTATTATCTTTCAAAAATTATTTAAAAATATTTTTAAAAAATTAATTGTAAGAATTTCTTAATTATTATTTTTTTGAAAATATACCATATGAATAATTTAAGAAAAAAACATGGACAGCAAGTTACAGTTTCAGTATTATTATAGAAAATGGAATTTTTGTATTTGAATAATTGAATTTTTCAAAAACTTTCAGAAAATTATTTAAAATAATTGATGTAGAGAAGAAGTTGTTTTTAAAGTGATACTGTGATTACAGTTAATAGTTTAAAAATTCTAAACTTTGTGGCAATTTTTGTTTACTTATAATACAATAATATATTATATAAATTAATATCGATAAAATTGTGTGTTATACAATTTTTTGACAACTTTTAAAAAATGTCGTCCTGGCCCTAAGGTGGTCACCATGAGTTTTTATGTAAAATCACTTTTTAATTTTTTTACGATGTAATATTTATCAAAATAAATGATGGAAAATGTAAATTTTATCGATTTGGAAAATTTTATGATGAATAATAAAATAATAAATAAAATAATAAATAAAATAATAAATAAAATAATAAATAATAATAATTAAATAGTTTTTAATGTATAAAATAGGATAAATAATTAACAATATTTTATAATGGCTTCTTATAAGTAACAAACAGAATTTGTAACTATCACCTTGGGGCCACTTTTTTAAAGCGAAATTTAAGGTGTTTTTCCAAAGTTGTCTAAGTTTTATTTTCCTTAGTAAATTTTTTGCTAAAATGTTAGCAAAGAAGTTACAGTTTCAGGGCATATATTATTATTAATTATGTTATAATTAATAATTGATTTTAGAAATATTTTTTTCCAATCAGAATCAGAATATTCTTTAGGTTCAGGGAAAGAATCAAAATTCAATCAGGAAATTAGGGAAATAACATGAAATTTCTATGTCAACCTTGAAAATAGATAAAAGCAACCGTACTATAGATAAAAAAAAAGAAACCAAAAAGAACCGTATACTAAATAATTAAGCAAAAGAAAAAAGCAAAGATTGAAATGAATTTACGACACATTATCGTCCTTAAAAGAAAGAAATACCACGGCGATTAATCCTTTCGTCAATCACATTGTGCCCCCATAAAAGGACGATCTATTTTGTCATGGGAGTGAATTCATAGCATTTGCGCCAAAGGGAAAATCTATACTGAAGATGTTGTCCCATTGGGGACACAGGGTCTAGCGTGACTTCTATAATCTCAGTCTTGGGGGATAATTAAAGTTAAACATTCCGTAAAACAACGTCTTCAGAATTGGAAAGAAGATCAATCATCGAGGAATCCAACTGGCAGAACTTCATTCCTAGATTTCATACCTTCTTCTTCCCTCTTCTCTCCTGCATTTGTTTCGGACCGAGCGCCTATACGCACTATATGCTGGGAGGGGGGATAAAGTCGAGATCAAATAATCGTCGTTTTCTCGAGGAAGCCAAGACCAAAGACACGCGACGAATGTGTAAAGTGATTTCCCGAGACGTTGATAGTCAACAGTAGACATTCTTTAGCT